ATTCTACATCACTCCCCACTGGAGCTCATGATGCATGAGTGCCAACGTACAATTTAAACTTCACATGCTCAAGTACCATAACCTGATAGAGGAAAAGTAAGTGTCAAGACAGATTACCAGCCGAAAGGAAATCATTTTGCAAAAATTCATTATTCACATTAGTATCTTAAAAATAAAATCCCTGTTTAAAAAAATTTTAAGGGCAACAATATGGAAGTGAGCAGTATCTCAGCTCTGCCAAGACATGCTGTCTCTGCAAATAGCTGGCATGCCTCCTGCACGCTATGCCTCCAAGAAAAAAGAAAAGACAAAACAAACAAACAAACAAAAAAATACTTTAAAACCTACATGTTTAAAGATAATAAGAAGATCTTGGTAATGTGAGCTGCTTTCTCCTTAGTTCTTAATCTGAAACCTGCACAAAGAAACTTCTCATTTAGTCGCACACACAGTTTAAACATGAGAAATACAGCTAGCATAATAGCTCTCTGTCCAGAACAGGAAAGACCACGATGAGTAACTTGTTCTTACTGGTCTCTTGGGTAATAGTTTAAGAAGGGTTTTCCATTACTTGAAGAAATAAAATGAGCTGCTTTAAACAGAGACTGACACCAGCAAATGGATCTTTAAAACTATCATTATGTGAAATAATTTTTGCATAGTATTATCAGGGGTTGCATTCCAGCAAACGCCTGAATGTCCCATTCTGTTAGCTTAGGTTATTCTTTTGAATGTCTGTAGAAACAACACCTAATGTGTGCATGTCTTCAATAACTGTACAGGCTGTGACTTGTGCTACTAGGACACTTAGATTACTATTATATCAGGTCCTTTTTAAACAAAAACTGGTATTCTACATTGTACACTTGGATATACAAGATCTTAGAGTGCTTTTTTGAAATGAAGCCAAAGAAATCTTTTTAGAAACTGGGGTGGAGCATAAAGGAGCCCATAGTAAAAAATAAAATCACTTCAACTGCTGAAAATTGCAAAAGAAAAAATATGAGCCACGGAGAAAAGTTGATTTAGGTATGATAATAAATTATGCTGTCATTTTTGTTTCTATATCCACATAAATGACAGCCACATTTCCCTGGTGATTTTGAAAGGCAGTTACAAAATGAGGTTAGGGATTCCCCAGCTAGAATAAAGCAATCTTGTTTTTAATTGGTAACATCCAGTATTTTGTGTGTGTGTGCAAAATTGCCAATAGAAGGTGGAATATGTGTGTTTTATAGGAAAAAAAGTGCCTATATTTCCCATTGATACAGCCTATAGAAAAGGGAAAAACTTTTTAGTGCTACAGTTAGGTGCCAGTATGTAACATAATTATAAGACGGAGCGTGAAGTTTTAGATCAGAGGATTTAAGACATTACTACCAGTAGTTTTTGTCTTCACCTCTTGTTGGAGGTGACTGCCTCTGGAATATCAACTAGTGCAGCTAAGAGGGGAACATCTATTCCTTCCTAACAGAGTTGTCTCCTGGAAAGGAAAAAACCACTGTGTGGCTGCATGGCACAAACAGCAAGCATGAATAGTGTTGGTGTGTAGAGAGCTTACACAGAAGAACGCCTGAAGAAAAGCTGAGAGAGACTCATAAGCATCATTGTTGATCACACTTTCTATTAACTAGAGCAGGGCTCAGTGCCAGTGCCAAGTGGGAATTTAATCACAGAAAGCACCACCATGAAATAATACCAGATCATGTGTCACAGGATGTGTGTGGAGGCACTGGGACAGTGCTGCACAAAGGTGAATGGAAAGCCCTTTCCTTACAGGAGGGAAGGCTACAAAACCATGGTGGAATCCTGGGAACACCTCAGCACTGCACCATGTACTGAGCACCACAGGGTTTTCCTGTGGGCTTCAAGAGAACATAGATCTTGAGGAGCTGCACAGGCAGACCTGAAGATGGTGAGAAATACTGCAATCCATGTCCCATGATTCAGCAGAAGCAGAACTGGTCTGTTTTCAGACCAGACCACGTTAAAAACGGTAAAACCTTTTAAAAGCAAGATAAAAACACTTATTTGTATTAAATTTTGCTTTTTTAAATCACTTTCTTCCAGTCTTAAGGTCATCCTGACATTCAGCTCCAAGGTTATTACTGAAAGAGGCTCTGAGCTCCACTGAAGCCTCCGTCAGCTGGGGACCACAGTACCTTGGGCCAGAGGGAGAATGAGCCACTCACTAGCAGTTTGCCCAATCAGCTGCCCAGATCTTGTCTCGATTTGTTGAGAGCCAGTGTTATGTCATTAATGTCTTCTCTTTCCCTGAGTAATGCCTAAATATTCTGCATGACCAGAATGTGGATTTGAAATTGCTTCTCTTGAGACAAAAGATGGGGGTAGCCAGCTAAAGCCTTTGAAGGGAGAGACTGGTGCTGTGATTCCTGCTGAGAAGAGGCTCTGATCAAGGAGGAAAGTCAAATGTCTAAACACAGTAAAAGCCATTAATCATTTTAAATCTAAACGCTTATTTTCTGCAGAAAATTGCGTGTACTGATGCCATTTAAGCTCCTGTCTTCAGGGCTAGTAAACGAATCGGAATATGGTAAAGCTATACTTAATTTCAGTGGAACAATAGTGGCATCCAGTGGTCAGTCAGCAAAATTCAAAGCACTGCTTCCCCAAAGTTTGAGGGGGATAGTGCGGTCTGCTCGGGCACCTCATGCTCTGTTCTTTATTGCCTTTTTTTTTGGAGGGGTGGCGGGAAATAATACTTTTTGAAAATGGGGAGTATTTTCACTTCAGTGGAGAGAGTAAAATACATTTTCTAACGTCCAATAATTAAAAAGTTAGTTCTCTGAGGCCCTACTGCAGTTGGTGAGTAATTCTATGGAGGGCATAGTTGGCCTTGGTGCAAACACATTTGATCTAAAGGTCCCGTTCTTGTGATGAAATAGGTCAAAAAACCTGTAATACATCATTGCAGCTATGCTGTTTTGTTTTGTAATACATCCTTTCAGCTATGTTCTGCTTGGTTTCTCTGATTGTCTGGAGGAAGATCTGTGTGTGGCTTTATATATCACCAGAAGTAATACTTTGGTTGCTATAAATCCTTGGAAGCTTATTTTACCCATGTCACTGAAGTGAGCTGCATCATGTCTCCCTACTAGCCATTATTTATATTTTGAAAATATCATTGCATTTTGAGAGGAGAATATGATTTGAAATATTTCAGTTTAGAGTCTCACCTTTATATTGTAGATGGAGAGCTTCCATTCACACATTCACACCAGGCTGGTGGTCTTAATGTCCGCTGCCTCTCCTCCTGCACTGAAAAGAAAGAGGGTGTTTACTCCACTACTCTGAGTAGTTCATTTGCATCCATATTCTGCTATTCCATTTAGATTTTAGCTAAAGCAATGAACCTAACCCTGACGTGATAATGACAAAAGTATCTGCTGCAATCTCATTTCTGCAGGAAACAAAATACTGTAAATGAGATGCTGCGATACCTCAGGGGAAAAATTAATGCAGTAAAATTACACTGTAATCTTGTAAAAAGAATAGTAGTTTTCCCCTTCAGACATACTATAGTCTTGACAACTTAAAACTTTAAAGATTCATCCAGGGCACTTGGTTTTGAATTGTACATCTTCACAGTCATTATGCATTTGCGCATCAACCAAGGGGGAAACTAAATACTTATAATCTTGAATTCAGATCTCTGCAGTGTGGATAGATACACCATCCATGATTCTCACAAGTAATTGGAAATGTTCTGACTAGTTTCTCTTTCCAAATTCCACCTGAAAAAAATAAATACAGCTTTTACTTTCAATCAAAGTAACATCATAAAATATATATCAAAGTTTTCCATCTGCCTGCTCTAATAGTTGTGGTTAGTAGATGCTTTCTGCCTAGCAAAAGATGTCTGCCATGTAAAATGTTTTGTGCATGTTATATAGACTTACGAAATTCCCAATTCTGATTTTGTACAATTTTGCTCCTCCCTTCTTTTTCGTTACCTTTCTTCAAATGTGTAAGGTTCCAACTCAGTCCCCATTGATATAAATGTAAAGACTCCCACTGACTGCAGTGGGAATTGGCTTAAATCACTAAAACAACAATTACATGCCTAATTGCTTTTTACTGCTCACTTAAAAATGCTTTCTTTGAAACACTACCAATATTTGCAAAGGCTGAGAGTTTAATGTGCCAAACTATTTAGGTTATTTGGAGACCTATTTTCCACCAGTGCCCAGGGATTTAAATAAATGCTGTAAAAGAGTGTTATTTACATTTGCATTCATAACAGGAGTGTTTATATTGCATTGTTATTCTTCATGGTGATTTTCCTCTAAATACCAAAACTTTGCTGCTTTGAAGTCAGTGGGGGATATCCCATTGACTTTATTCAAACTGAAACTGGGAGATAATGTGAAGAAAAGGATGTAGGTTTCCAATAATTCTGAAAAAGAGACAAGTCCTGTGAAAGACTCTTCCCAGAGCTCTGTAGTGACTCTCTTTTCTGGGGATCACTCTTTCCACTGTATTCCTCAATGTCTCCTGAGCCTCCAAAGACCATGTGTTAGTTTGGCGGTGCCTGTAAATGGTACCTAAAATTACTGTGCTGATTTGGCACTGGCTTGGAGAACTCTAACCCTACTCTGCAAGTGGCAATCTGCACCAGCTCAGCTCTCTAAATTGCAATCCTGACTCTAAAATACAATCCCCATGCAAAAGTGGCTGTGAGAAGATTCTTCAGAAATGAGCTAATCATCAGATCCTTTACTTAGCCTCTGAGGTTGAAAAGAGTTGTCACTGAAAGAGAACAGTGCAATCCTCTTCCTTTCAAATCTACTGGAAAGAAACAATATAATTAAAATAACCCTGAGTCTCACAAGCATGGCCTGAAGGAAGACTGTAAGATCTGAATTTGGCTGCATGCCTAACGACTTTTACTACCAAAGCACTAGCTTCCTTCATTACCAGCACCTTTTCTGAATGCACAAACCTGATCTCTTCCACCGAGCTCCTTTTAACTATAATGGACAAAGTTTAGGCATCTTTTAAAACAAATATAGCAGGACACTCTGCATAGGCTTGGAAATAATTCAGTGCTGCTAGGCACCATAAGGAGACAAGCCAGGTTTTGGGAAACAGATTAAAATGGTTACTAAGTTTTCTCTTTAACTTGACAGAGGATTGATGAAGAACATTTTGAAAGCAAATAGTCTCAAAACCCATTTATCTATCTACTATCTATTTACTGATCAGTAAATAAAAATAAGCACACTGCAAGTATACAAATTAAGGTGGAGAGTCTGAATGAACACACTGTTCATTTCAGCATTATTTCAGCCTAAGATGTTTGCACATCCTCTAAGAGTAACAGGTTTTCCCAGGAATTAAAAGCATACATCTCATTTTCCTATAGTGTATTGATATGACTGCTGCTCAGATTTAAAAGCATTTCAAGATCATATTTTAATATGCCGCAGTAATAAAAAATCACAATAGTTTCTGGTGTACAATACTGTTTCTCAACAGCTGATATTACAGTAAAAAAACTACTCTCCTGCTAATTTGATGAAGGTAAATAATTAAAGAGCAACCTATTAAAATATCTCAAGGTGAAGACTGGCATATTGTTTTTTGCAGGATTCTTGATAAGTGTAGGTTTTTCCACAAAACCATAGGCTGAGAAGATGACTTCTATCTTTTATTTTCTTTGTTTGCAGCCCTGCATTCACCCTTTCGACTACAGCCACAGTTATTCCCTAAAATCCTTAATTTTTTTTACAGTATAAATTCTCATGGTCAAGTTTATCTGCATAGCATAATTTTCTTTGCCAGTATTGTTTGATTAGCAAGATGTTACTATGAAGCTAGAGGCAAACATTTTAAGTACAACTAAGAACTCTGTGAAACTAAGGCAAAGCTGGAGATTGCTGAACACAGCAAAATGAAAGGACGTTAACGTGGGACATAATTATATTGAACTTTAACATATATTCTAATGGCAGTAGATCAAGCAAACACTTCAGGACTAATGGAAAATGGTTGTGCAACAAGACACTGATGATAAAAGAAATGGTCAGTTGTGTCCATCCACCTGGTTAGTTAAAACAAACAATTGTGTTCCTCAAATCCATTTTCTTAGTGATGCTCTCCCTGTTGCTGGGTTTGGGTGGTATCTAACAGCTGCAACACTGTGGTCAGTAAGTACAAAATAAATGAGAGGGTTATATTTCACCAGATAATTCACATACAAACATGAACATAACACTACTGTAAAACAAACCCAGCAAAGACTATATTCCACAAGCTGAGATGTTATTATTATTATTATTATTACTACTACTACCAACTGATATCACCCCAACATATTTTCAATATAAGGAGTGATGACTTTAGAGCCCATTACCCAGCTTTCAGTGAGCTCAGGTCCATTTCCATGGCAACAGGAGATGCATCCATTTGCAAAGTTGTCAGAAGGCTGTGACGTTCAGTTCCTGTGCTGAGCAAGGCTGATGGCAATCCAACAGCAGCAATCCACACTTTTTTAGGAACTGGTCTCCACCACAGTGCTTTTAGCTAAATGAAACAAAAATAAATAAGCTATTAATGAACCGTGGGCCATTTTTTGTTGCATGATTTCTCTTTTGAAAGATTTTATAAAATAAGTCCTTTTAAGGAATGTTTATTGAAATGTGTATTTGAGTGTTTATAGGAAATTCCAATACCTGCATTTTAAGTATAGGAGATGCCTTTGCAGTCAGAAACTTCACCAGATTTTTATTTTTTCTAATGAAGTGCTTTATCCCTTTCTCCTCAGCTCTGATTTGCTCCCAGCCTTTGGCAGGGGGGCAACAGCCCATATAACACTGTGCATACACAGTGCAAGGTGAAGTTGTTTGGCCGGGTTTATGCACTGGGATGTGGTGACTTGACAGTAGTTTGGACAGACTGAGGATGTGATGGGTGAGATGGTCTAAGGAAGAATTTGTTCCATTTAATAAAGTTTGTCTGAGAAAAATACTGAAAACTCTGGAATATTTGTAGGTGTTCAACTAATTGAAGAGTCAGTACCGCCCTGTGAAGGTGCATACTCTGCACACACTGGTTACAGAATGAAGAGCAGCTGGACGTAACTGGGGTCCTTGGAGCCATAGCTGCTGCAGAGGTATGTCCTGTCCCTTCGCCAACAGGCAAACAGCTGCCGTAGCTTATGCTCCTGCATATTAACCCAAGCAGAAACCCTGCAAGGTCTAGGTTAACACACCAGGCTGTAAAATGTAGTGGCCAGGGTGGCCTGTATGTCCCCTTCAGCCTCATCTCCCGCAAAGGCATTTATCCATGGTGTGGGCGAGGCAGCTGCCCAGGGGCTGTGATTTCACCACTGCAGTAAACCCCCTCCTCCAAACTGTGCCCACGAGCCCTGATGGCATTGCTCCTTGCCAAAACATGTCTGGCACGATTGCACCTTGCCCAGCTGCTGCAGCACGGCAGTGATTGATGGTGCTGAGCATGTAAAAAGCAGTCGATGGGTTAGGCAGCTTTATGCTCCTAACAGGATTTTCTGCTTGCACAAGTGCCAGAAACACATCACAGCCTGCCACTACTTTGAGCATATTGAATTATAAGGAACTAACTAGAAAAGTACTTAGGGAGGGTGTATAATGCTTTGCAGCATATGGATGCTCTGGTTTGCCATGCCCAAATTCTGTCTGGCATAAATAGGCTCATTTCCCACTGATATCAAGAGATGCTGTCTTATATTATTCCATATTGAAATCTAAAAGTGGATCATGATCATCTCCCACATTATCAAACAAAAACTACTTGTCCAAAGGAAGGCAACATTCCCATAACAACTGTAGCATATGCTATCAATCTTTCCCAGAAAAGTTATTTTCCTCTCATTGCACCGATTCAGCAGAAGTTTATTTGTGGGACAACATGGAGAATGTGCCTCTCCCAAATCCATGCAGCAATAACTCAATCCTGGCTTGCAGCTTGGTCCAGACAATGCCAGCACTGCCCCACGACCTGACCAGTTCCCTTCCAGATGAGAGAAGAAAACTGGTGCTTATGTAAGGCTGAAACTTGCCTCCCACATCACTCCCAGGCACCCTGCTCTCCAAGAGCAGCCATGGCAGGATTTGGTTCATGGTACACATCCACCACCTCCAGCAGACAGCTGTGTGTTATGCTACTAACCCACAAACATAGTCTGGAGATGTGGGGCCATGCTGACCACCAATTGGCAGTGCCTCTGTTCCTCCATTATTCATGTTCTACCTCCAGACAAGAGACCATGTTTGCTGCTCTGGGGTGGATGATCTTCCCAGGGTGTGAGGGCTGAGCCTGAGGTGGCAGGGAGACACTCAGGATGCTCTGCCACAGAGCCCACCTGTAATGCAGAGCCTTGCAAGCTCTGCTTTGCCATCAGACCATGGTACCACATCAAGACTCACGTTTTTTCATGGGAGAACAAAATGCCACACTCTCACACTCAGGCATTCATATTTGTGCATGCAGCTTTTCCCGTGTAATAGGAGCGAAGTCACAAAGTCACATCAGCTGCCAGTGAAACACCCTTTGGACTGATGTTTTTTAAGTGCTCTGCTGTGTTGAATCCCTAATTGCACTAATGGACCTAATGAACCAAGACTTCTGGGGTAAACAGGGAAAGCCATAGTGAGAGTAATTCAAAATTAAACCGAACTAAGTGCTTGGGAATATGCTTTTGGGAACAGCTCTGCCTCAGAGGCAGCAGGGGTCCATAGGTCCTCTTCACCTTCTGCTCACTTTAATCTTCAAAAGAGCTTGTGTCCCCCTTGGTGGAAAAACCCAGACACACCTCACCTGGGACTGCAGAAAGCAGTAGGAGACAGCTCTGCACCATCAAAGCCACAGTGCCCATGCTCTCCCAGGTTGCAGGAAGGGTTTCCTGCACTAGCACCCTCTTCTTCCAGGATGCTCCTCATAGCTTTATCCCATTTCACCCCAGCTATAAGGTACTGGTGAAAGACCAGGGCATTCCAGGTCTTGCTACTCCCATGCCTGGTTCTGAGGAGATGACTCTTTACAAGTCTGCCTTTGCTGTTTCTACAGGATTTGCTACTGGCAGTCATGAATCTCTGCAGATTTCCCAACACAGCTTTGCACTGGCAGTGATCTCAGCCCCAGAGAAGTTTGTGAACTGTGCCATTTCTTCATATCAAAAACTGCAAAGAAACAGGAAAATCTCTGATTTCCTAATATACCAAGCCTGGTGGTTATTAACCTGCTATTTTTAGTATCTGTTTTAAGATGTTTTCTATAATTGTTCTGCCTGAAATGGGAGTGTATAGTGCACTGCTTGGTTCATGGTCCTGAGGTGATTTTTAATTGATGAGTGGCCTAGCACTCCTTGGGTGCTCAGAGCTATCTTTTAATAATAAAACAGATTATGTCTGTATCTCCCTTGCTGTAACTGCCTGGCATTCATTTCCAGAACTTTTTCATTTTGGTCTGTTTTGGTTTTTAACTTGGTCAAAGAAAGAAGCAGAACCAACTCACGCAGATGTGTGCTTTGGCTAAAACACTGGCAGCCACTGAGACTCAATGACTAACCAGCATTTTGGAGCTTGTCAAAGTATTGGAGTGGAAGCGGATGTGGGGTTTGTAGTGCTGTGGTTGCTGTAGAAATGTTTAAAAAGTATTTCATCCCAGGAAAGCAAACTTTAAAAGACAACATAAAATCACAAGTCTTTCACATTTTCTCCAGTTACTCTTGTTCTTGTTTGTAACAGCAAATATTTATATGTGAGCCAGAATAGTTTATTCCTCATGGTCCCACTCACACAGAGACTTTAGCCCACTTCAGGAAAGAGAGCTGTTAACCCCTCAAGAAGGACAGGAAATGTAACCTTATTACCTGCAGATAACACTGCTCAGAGCTGGCAGTGGAACCAGAAGTGGAGCTTGAGAGCAGTGGTTGTGAGGGCTTGTTCTGTGGCTGCCAGCCTGCCTTCCTCCCACCTCATCCTGCAAAACAAGAAGGATGAAAGTTTCACAGCCTCAACTGGGTATCTGCAATAACACAGGAAAGCCTCATAACACAGCACTGGAAAAGAACTAAGATTATTCTGTCTAAATCGATATACCTAACCATACCTGGAGGCTCCACATACACACTCATTTCTTCTCTTCTAAAAACACTCAGTAATGGTGTTTATCCTCCCTTGAGGGGGGACAGGTCTAGTGTCCAGCTCAAGTCCTTCAGCCTTTCCTCATTGGTCCTATTTTCTACAGCTGCCAGGTGTGTTACTGTCCTCTGGGCACCTCTCAGTTTACCCAGAAAGTTCAACCCAGTGTCCTGGATGTGGCCTCCCGCTGTCAAGCAAAACAAGATACCCCATGCTGTGGGTGCAATTGTCCCATTAATGTAATTTCTTTTCTCTCCTTGCAAGAGCCCAACATTAGTGTTTTATATTCAGTTTGTGACCCATTTTTCACTGCCTGGTTTTTTGTTTGGGCTGGTTTTGGTTTTTTGAGTGTTTTTTGCTTTGTGATAGCCTTTTCTATTTTTGCACTTGATTCTTCTTCAAAATGCAAGGCTTCCCTCATCTTTTCACTATCCGCACCTGGACCAGATGCCCAAAGCCACTGGGGATTCACAGACAGGAATCTGAGGCAGGCAAGGAGATGTGTGTTGGGGGAAGAAAGGACTGCATGAAAATATGGTGATGGGAACAGAAAAATCAGAGTCTGATGGAAAAAAATTAGAAAGAGGAAAAGAAAGCCTATAAGCTTATAGAAGAAATTAAAAACTTGTCATGGGAAAGAAAACAAGAGAAGGAAATGAATAAAAGAAAGGTACAGAGAGTGACACTGAAGATAATGTAGAAAAATTACACAGAGATCTTTGAGAGAACAATGCAGATAAAAAGGGAAACATGAAGTCTTACAGATCAAGAACTCTGTCTAATTTTAAGTTGTCATTAATCAACTCCAAACCAAATGAATGCTTATATCCCATAAACAGCTGCTACCTAGGTGTGACCCGCCCTGGGTAGTAGAATGAGTCCTAACCATAAGATGTATTGAACACTTTTCAAACCTGCATGACAAAGCTGTGAATCTTAGCTCAGTATGCAATATTTTAATCCTGCAAAGAGAGGACAGCAAATGGCCTGGCAATGTGCTTTACCATCAGTCTTGTTCTTTGGCTCTGGACAGCCCCTTCATGCACTAGTTGGTCTTCCCCACTAATCTGGAATTGCTCTTCATAGGAGGCAATTTGCCTGCCTGGGTAGTTTATGCAGCCTTTGAGGATGCTGTGTACTGGGTGGACTTGCTTTGAACTATTGGTTGCTGCATCCCTCACCTCTCCACCTGCTGCAGACAAAAGAAGCTACAGAGACATCAGCCTTTCCCGGGTCTGCTGCAATGCACTCCTTGACTTGCAAATGATGCTCCATTAGGCAGCATTTTCTCCCCCCATGCTTTAGCAACCTTATGCCTTGCTCACCATCCCAGACTTCACCTCTTCCCCAGGCTTACCAGTGCTGAAGGTCTATGCAACATCACTTGTTGCTGTAAAAGATTAGCTGGGGAGTCACCGCTGCAAGCTTTGCAGCAAAGGCCCATTAAAAGCATGCACAAAGGCAGTGGGGGGTTTGCAAAGCATTGCTTAGTGAAATGGAAAAAAAAATAATAATTAGGAAGACAAAAGAAAATAATTAATTTTCCTGGCCAATGATGCTGCAGCTCTGAGAAGATCCAGCAGACATTTAGACTCCAATAGGGAAGGAATCAAAAGACCTTCAGTAGTCAGAGGAAAGGAGCATTTAGCAAACACTGGTGATTTCATAGAATCATAGAATCGTTAGGGTTGGAAAGGACCTTAAGATCATCTAGTTCCAACCCCCCTGCCGTGGGCAGGGACACCTTATGCTAAATCGTATCACCCAAGGCCTCGTCCAACCTCTGTTTTATCTTCATCCTCCTTCTTACAGGATTCATGCATTGAAGTGCCACATTAATCGTACCAAAGCATTGTCCCTGCCGACTGACAGCAAGACTCTGCACACCCTTAGCTCAAACAGACAGCTGCAGTCCCAAAGTCAACATTTCTACACTTACTAGCAATATCCCTGGAATTTCCTATTCAGTCCAAGCCCTCTGCAATAATTTGCAGCAGCTACTGTTTCTTTTTCAAGGACACATTCACTTGTAGGAACATGTGGCACCTCACAATTACTGAAATTAGATAAGACAATCCTGATAAGATACAGTTTTATATAGGTTACAGTTTTCTAATTGGAAACCAGCCCTTTTATTTTTACTTTCCCCTTCACTAGCATTATAAAAACTCTGTGCTCCCAGCGTTTAGGTGTTTCATTTTAGTTAAACATACCTGTTATTTTCAAGTACAGAACTAAAGGCAGGTCCATTAGCCCACAAACCCCTCTAAAGCTCTGGCCCCAAGGCCTGGGAAGTGACTCAAGGCAGCAGCACAGCAGAAAGCCAGCCTGCGCATGCCTGTCTTAAGCCAAAGTTTGATGTTCTCCCTTCCTGCCCCTTTGGTTACCATCTCCTTGAGGCAGGCACAAGTGGTTGTGACTTACCCCACATTGCAGCTTTACATCCCCTCTGCCAATTCAGGTGGAGAAATGAGCAGCAGGAGAAGGAGGACCCTTGGTATTCATGTTGTGCACCTATCCCCTCCAAAACCCACCACCAGGAGTGGGCACAGTGAGGCCACCCTGGAGTGGCCCTGCTCTGGGCGAAGGGGGCTGCTGGAGGAGACGTCCTGCCAGACATCAGTGCTTCGTTAGCCATTGCCAGGGGGACAAAGGCAGCCCAAACCTGCAGCTGCCTGCCCTCACCCAGAGCTTAATCACTTTTAAATAGGGAGGGTGAATGCCATGACCTGCAATTATTCACCTTTTGTGTTGTTAGCTACAGCTCCTTGTGCTGTGCCAAATCACATGGTTACAGACCGGTTTGGTGGTTGAAGCTTTATCAACAGCCCCCATCTTCCCACTGCTCTGCCTGCCCTCCCCCTCAACCACCCCATCACCCCGCTGCCCAGTGCCCAGGGAGGGGTTTGAAGCACTGGGCAGGATCAGCACTGCATGGGGAAGCCCCCAGGATGGAGAGGGAGCCCTTGGGATGGCACATGGCCAGTGGGCACCAAACCATGACACTGCTGAGGCACTGGGCCATCCCAGCAGGCCCCGGACGAGGGTTGGCCCAGGAGCGCTGTGTACTGCACAGGGAACATGCTGTGCCACCCCTCCAGTGTGGCTCCTGCCGCCCTCCCCATGGCAGCAGCAAGAGTGCTAGTGCTATTGGGGAAAAGGAAAGAAGAAACAAACCCCACACCACAAAAGTGCCTTACCTGGCAGCGGGTTGCAGTTGTTGCCACTGGGAAGAGCCCACACCCAAGCCCAACTTCTTCCCATGTTTTAGGGGTTTAGCCCTAAAACGTGTATTTCTTCTACACAGTGTTTATACATCCCTGATTTTGAGGAGGGAGATGCCCGTGCAGTGCCAGGAGAACTGCTGGTGTTGCCGATGTGTCTTCCAGCTGCTGTAAGGCACCGCTCACCTCCGTGCCTCCATGTGGGCACCACAGCATCACCCCTGCTCCTGCTGGGCTGTGCTCAGGACTGCGCTTTTCAGTAGTTTTCCAGGCAGGTTGAAGGACCAGCAGGTGCTGAGCTCATGGGGAGAGAGGTGCAAGAGCAGTCACGAGCATGGAGGGGGTGCCCTACCCTCCTACAGACATACAGCTTGTCTGTGTGCAGCACTGTGGAGCTGCAATGTTGCAGAACCTCTTTGGTTGTTTCCTTTGTCAGGCTGAGGCTGGGAGGCTCCCCAGGGAAATACAGTCGATTAGATGATGCTTATTAATGGGACCCCTGACATCAGTAAGTCTTCAGAACTACTCAATTAATATAAACAATGCTCCATTTAATTTGTTGTCCCAATTATCACTCACTATTCACTATGGAACTGTAATTTTCACTTCTAAGTGGTACATAGGACTTGGTTAAGGGTATCTCCTGCTTCATGAGTTATGCTTGTAAGTTTTGCATTGTTGTGAAGTCATTTGGGTTACACAGATGGTGGAAGATGGGTTTGACTCAAACAACATTTCTTTATCCTGTGTGAAGCAGCCTGGTCATAGGTGCCATCATTTAGATTTAGGGAACAACCATGCAGAATGCCAAGGCCAGATTTACACACAGGGCTATATATTTGTACACAGGTTATAAACAACAACGTGACAGTGTTTAAACCAGGAATAAGCAAATAATTTTACTTAAAATTATAGATGTGTACTATCTCCCTCCTATTCAGCAATAAAAAGCCAGGGTGACTATAAATAGTAACATTCCTAACATCACATCCAAAGAAAGTTTTATCGTAACAAAACTTGGCTTATCTTTGGTGGTATCGGGTTTTACTACTTCTTGAAGATGACTAAATAAGACCTTTGACAGCTGCTACAGTCAGACAGTGGTATTTTTGCTGCTGGAACCATGGCATTTAACAGATGGAAAAGCAGATAATGTAATAACATAGCATTCGCAAGTAACATTTCAGAAGTGGTAGTCATGGTCTTTAAATAAAACTGGGCAAAGCAGATCTGAGTCGACTTCGCCCCTGGATCAAAGAAAGCTCCGGTTGCCTCAACTTTGACAATGTTAAAAATGTTCCTTAAAAACGAGAGGCACAAAACCCCTCTAATTGGAAAGATGTGTTCGTGCCTGTGGGCTCTCCAGGAGAGTGCTGGTATGGAACCTGTGAAGACCCCACATGTGGGTGGGAACCGGACACTGAACGCTGGCTGACCAGGACCATAAGTACCCCATCAGCACCCCATCAGCAATGCCACCCACCAGCTCTCCTTGTCACTTCCAAAACACTGCAGGAATTGTGTGGAGCTCCTAGCTGCACTTGGCGGGCAGGCATCCCAGTCACTGCGGCATCCCCAGAAGCCTGCGGTCCTCATCCTCCCAGCTACATCTCCCACTTTAACCTATGCAGAAGAGAGCACACAGAAACCAAGTGAGCAGAACACATCAGGGCCACCCCCTCGCAGAATGTTTTTAGTTTACTGTTCATAAAGATAACACACGACAAGAGCATTGCCTGTCTCCCAGCCAAACACGGAGACCAAATAAAGCATTAGCAAAACCCCACTTTGCTGGACTGGGTGAGGCACTAGTTGTGTCATCTTTGGCGTGTTGATACAAATACATGCTGGATCCAGCTTGCCTTTTGAAATAATAGCTCGCTCAGTCTTCATTGTGGGACTAAATGAATCAACAACCCTTCAGGGCAGCTCCTGATGGAGCCTGTTTCTACAATTTGTATCAAACCAGTGCATACCAGCACACAGGAAACTACTGTAGCAAGTCAAAATATGTGGTGTGACTGCCACAAGGAAGGACGAACTGCTCCTACCAAATCCAAGTGTTATCTCATCCCTGGCACCTCTTCTAATCACCGTTTGGCTTTACTTGCTGAAAGCTTTTTGCATTTCAACTTTGCAGCTTTTGCTGCTGCTGCAAAGGGTGAGAAGGGACGGAGGGCAAAAGGAGATGGAACAGAGAAAAATGAATTGTCATCCATAAAAGACTCCTGTCTGGCAACCTTCAGCAAGTCATTTGGGCTTAATCCCTAAGGATATTGAGGTGTCACCTCTTATTATTCCTATAAGTTTCCTACCCTTGTGTCTGGGTGCTGAATGACAGTACCTGGTCCAGCTGCCCCTGAACATGGCAGCTGAGGCTGTGAGCACCCGCAGCACCACTGGGATGGCCCATTCCCATTCAGACAAAAAAGGGCTTTCAACTATAGCCCTTTTGTTAGTTGAACAGCCAATGAAGAGGTGATTGATAGCATCAGGTTTAGTTAATAAGAGTAGCCCTCTGCACTGACAATCTCATACTTCACCTCAATAAGTCCTTCACAATTTTACTGGCTATAAAATGGTGTAAAGATGGCATATTTTGGTATTTTCCTGGCACTGACTGGGTGAGAAGATGAGTAGAGGTACAGAAGTCGTGGGATATCTTGGTGCTGAAGATTTGCTGTGAAGCAGCTTTTGGGATTGCCTTCATCCTCCCACAGGGAGCCCTCACCTATGCAGAGTCAAGCACAAAATTGCATCCACAACTTACATAGCTTGAACCAGAAAACAGTTTTATCCCAATTTCTGAATGGAATAAGACATGTGCAACTGCACTGCTTTTCACATGACTAGTCGCTCATCATTTCTGAAATCAGTCACTTTCAATAAAACTTGGCTGAGAGGAAGAGATCTAAAGGTATTGCCTCACCAACAGGTTTTGGGAAAATAGGTAGTTGGGTAGAGGAGAGCCTGCTTCTGCCTCCAAGGAAGGAAGGATTGTGGTGCAGCCTCAGCTGCTGTGGGGAAAGGGGATACACACACTTGCCAGAATGTCTCCAGCCAGAGCTGATGCCATGTTCAGCAGTTCCTCCATCCTTGGGCTTGGTTTTGTTTCCATGAACTGGTAAAGCTCCAGGTGCCCATGAAGACGGAAATGTGGGCTGGAGCTCTGCTGGGGGGAAGGGGGTCAGGAGATCACCTGCCTGCCTGGATGCCCTAATGTGCTTTGCTCCAGTTCAGAGAAGAAGTCAGATTTCTTCAATTCTGCTGTTCAGAAAACTCACCAGTTCACAGTCTAGGACTCCCAACTCCCATTTTAACTGCAAAAATCAGTCACAAGCCTAGGGTTACTTTTCTTTTGCCAAAGTATTATTCTCCAATGTTTTAACTAATTCATGCAAACATAACTTTTTTGTTGTTATTGTTGGTATTCTGACCTTGCAAAAACCCAAGACTAAAATCTCTGCTCAACCGTATTTATTTCTTTTTGTGGCTCTCTGGTCTGTGAAATTGGAGGGTTGCTCTAGGACCCAATACTGCTGGAATTTATCTGTTTCAAGAGAAGTATGGTTTAATCTGTGCTTTGAAGAACAAAGCAGAACACACAAAAATTACATGGACTGTGCGAAAAGATTATAAAGGAGAAAATAGGACAAAACAACGTGGGTCAAATTTGGGACATAATCCAACATTGTAAGTATGTGCTTATGGGCCTGAATGTTTCCTCTTTAAAATCAACAATTGTGTCTGTGAGGGAAGCCAGCCTGCTGCAGCTGGGCCTCTTGGTAAAGGGACAGCTTCCCATATAGCAGAAACTTACAGTCTAAAATGTGACATTAAGTGTCTTCATCTCACAAATGCCAGCATACACAGGACTCCTTTCACAGAAGAGGGTCTACTGAAAGCAATGCAACTGTGCAGAAAGTTAAAGCTAAGCACGTGGCGTAAGCAATTGCGAGCTCAGCGTCTGCAGGCCCTTTATTCCTATGGCACCAAACCTTATGCTTCTAATTAAATTAACACTTTCATACCTGTGGGAAAATCCCAGGTCAGTATCACAGAGTGCACTGCACTAACAAATACACTGGCATGCCTAACAACTGATGCGTTAACTGGATTTGAATAGAATCATTTAAGCATTAATAACAGTTCCATCTCTGGAAGGCAAGCCTTTTCACTCCTATGCATTTTGACATCCATTAGTAACTGAACATATTCCTAATAGAAACGTAATTATTGCCAATACACCAAACATTTGTTTGCATAAATACAAAAGGAAGCTGGAGATAAAATTAACCCTGCGGTACTGTGAGAGTCTAGCATATGCAGGAGAATCTTAACATTAAGGGTCAAAACATTAGATATATATTCCTAACTATTACACATATGGAATGCAATAATGGGCAAGAACAACAACAATGGTTCCGAGCCAGTATTCTATCTCCTTCCACAGCAGCTTTAGAGGACAGCTAAAGAACCTCTCTAGAAAAGAAGCACATCCCCAGGAGATCATCTACTGAAACCCCAAACAATTACTTGTGCTCAGAAACACGATTCTCTTACTTTTATATATATCAAAGCAAGTCAGGTAGACTAGAGGTTAGGGAAGATAAGCATGCTTACTTACTCCTTACCTACAGGTATGCACAATTGTTTTGGGGTTGGGTTTTTCTGCTGTTTTTTAGAGAAGTCAGACCAGATCTAAGGTTTCAATTAAGTTAACATTTAAGATACAGCTATTGGTGAAAAGAGATTAGTAAACGATTTGTACTTTTCTTATTCTGCGTGTTGATTTTCATATAGGGCTGTACATCAGAGTCCTAAGTGCACCACTGGGATACAAGTAAAGGTTAGTTCAGAAAAAAAGCAGCTGTTCCTATCACATTTATCTGTGGTAAATATAGCAGAGGCTAGTTTGAAAATTAATTTATTTCGGCACATAGAGGAGAAGATGCATAGACGTATTTACAAGACGATTCAAAATAGCATACCTATGGGCTGCAAAATAGCACTTCTAAGTAGGCTGGAAGACAACAGATGCTTCTGCCTGATACAGTGAACAAACCACCCTCAATATTATAAAAAGATGCATAAAGGAAGCCCAGGGACCGATTACTACTTGAAAGACAAGCAGGATGTTTGAAGAATGGCTCAAAGCATAGAACTGTCTAAATTCCTTATCTTCCAAAAGACCTTGGTGGGGGGGAAGACTATCATGACCTAATTCCTTGTTTCCAGATGAATTTTTCTTCCTTCTCCCCTGATAGAAGCATGCCTAGTCACTGCAAAGGGTAGCATTCAAGGACTGTATTTTATAGAGATTTCTAGAAAACAAATCATCTGTGGGACTCTAAATAACAAATCAAGGAAATAACACAGCTGCTGATTCATAGCAAGTGGAAAATCTTCTCTAGTTACTAGCAATGTATATCATCTAGGGCTATTTTTCAGACCCTCTACAGTTCACCATATAGTCTCACAAACGGCTGCACCAGCATGAGGGAGTGGGTGCAAGGGGGAAAGTGGGATCACTTCTAAGTGATTTAAAACATTCATTTTTTTAAAGGCTAGGATAAATAACAGCATTTCCCTTCCTCCTTCTTTTCAACATTTCCATATATTTTCACTTTTGGGCTCTATTCTTGCAAGCAGCAGTTGCTTTGGACCAGACAAAAGGCTGCCCTTGCACTGCATCTGCTAGGATTGTGGCCAAGAGCCAGAGCTATAGGGAAAGAGCACAAGAAATAAGACAAGCTTAAAATGACCCTTCCTCCATCAGCTTCCAATAACCAATAGTTCAGAAATGTCCATGAAGAGTTCACTAAACCCATGAAAGGATTACAGTAGAAATACTGCTCCTACAATTAACTGCTACTTGGAAGAGAGTTTTAAGTTAAAAAAAAAAGAAAGGGGGTGTGTGTGCGTGTGTGTGTAAATATATAAAAAATACAGATCTGGTCAGAGAAAGGCACCATCATGTCACATAGCTGCAGTAATTATTGTAGGTCACAAATACATGCACAGGCTGTCCTACGCACTTATACAGATGTATTCCATCAGTCTACAGTAACTGCTAAAAAAAACAACAAAACAGCCAAAGAACCCTATACTCAGAGAACAGTAGCCCTGGTAAAGCAGCCCCAAAGCTGTGGAGCAAGCCATGCCTCAGAGCCACTGAAGCTGTAGCTATTTGGCTGCTCTCCCAGAGAGACTCATCACCCACTCCGCCTAGGTCAAACTGACAGCACAGATATTAGAGAAACTTCTCTCCCATGCCCACAGTTATTAAACAGTGATCAGTCCAGCTGCTTACCCAGAAAGATTCAAAAGATCTATCACGTAAAGTAAAACCCTATTGTTCCTGGCTTTTAATAGCAGTTCTTGCAAAAGCATCTCTAATGATTGTGACCACACAGGCTTTATGAGAGAACTAACCGCAGAGGACAGACCGTACATCTTTACCCTGGGAAAAGCTGTGGAGCGTTTCTTCCTGGACGTGCTGATCAACTGGAAGAGCAACTTTGCTTTGGGAGACAAACAGCTGGAAAGGTGGAAAGGAGGAGGGTATCACAAAGGTTTTCAAACCCTAATTTCTGTGAAGATGTTGTATTAGAAGCATCTGCTTGCTACTTACTGCAATACAGCAGCTCTCGAGGCACTCTCAGAGACAGAAAGGCTTCTAGCATCAACAGGAGCATGCAAAACCTTGTAACTATTCAACTTAATGCTAACTCTACCCTTGCCTTCCTCTGCCTCCTAGGAATTAATGACCTCAGGTTTCTGTGAGTGTTCAACCTAAGGCCTTCCCCAAAAGAATGAATTTCATCTCGCACATCCATACGTGAGCATACATAAACAGGAGCAGGCACATGCAAAGTCAACAGATACTGATATCTTCTATTCTGGGATATTAGTGGAAACAGCAACAGGGAAATCCCATGGAACTTGCCTTCACTATCTGCCCTTTGCTTTTTTTTCTTTACTCAAATACAAATAGTGCTTAATGTTTTTCTTGAGACAAACTACTCTGATAAATGTTTATGGAGTTAAAAAGAAGCTCCCCACTGTGAGTAGCTGGATGTTTGGACAGTTTGGCATAGGAAACATTATACAGTCTCTGCTGTAGCAGCCTGTAGGAAAGTCTGATGCAAGATCAGTTTCCTGTTCCAGTTATGCCACATTGTAGTTTATAGTAGTAGACAATAAGGTAGCAGCTCTGAGGAAGCATCATGCCAAAATAGAGGGCATGTCATTGCAAATAATACCATTCACAGAATGCCAGTTTGCAAGTTTTTGGGGGTTGGTTGGTTGGTTGGTTGGTTTTGTTGTTTGTTTTTTTGTTGTTGTTGTTGTTGGTTTTTATTTTTTTTATGAGAAAACAGAAAGAAGAGTGCAGACCTCAAACCTTCCCACTTACTTGTAGCAGAATGATTGATAGCACTTCTCAGATCTTAATCCAGACCAGAAATCCACTGTATGAGGTGCTCTACAAAGCACACATCCTTAACCTTTACAGCAGTCACCTTTTCCTGCTTACCTGGAAAAATCATCCACATGTAATTATTTTGCAGCCCAAATCCCAGACTCTGCAGGAAAGTCCTAGTATTTTCTCCACTGCTGGAGATGTTCCAGATCTTCACCCAAGCTCTCCCCGAATCATGCCAGCTCAGGGCCTGATTCAACCAATTATGACACTACCTCGTACCACTAGTAAACATTAAAATTTTACTTAAACATCCCTCCCCACACACACACCATGGTAACATGAAACAACACTTCCCCATCTTCACTTTTATCTGCAGTTTGATCAGTTTTAACTTGGATGGATCTGTGGAAAGGAGTAAGAGTAACAGCAGCCACTTACTGCTGACTGGAGTGCCAGGTACCGTCCAATTACCATCCAAACAGGAAACAAAAAAAGTATTTTAATTTGAAGTAGCATTTTATTTTCCATTAGCTTTGTATATGGAGCTTCAGCCTAGCTAACACAAGCTATGCACTGCAGGTAGCTCTAAGGGCAGGAATGCTTGAATACTGTGCCTTTACAATGCCACCTCTACTGCGTTTGCATGGCAAGGTTTTTGTAGTGGGAGGGCTACAGAGGGTGGCTTCTGTGAGAAGGTGCTAGAAGCATCCTTTATGTCCAATAGAGCCAATGCCAGATGGTCCCAAGACAGACCCACTGTTGGCCAAAGCTGAGCCCATCAGTCACAGTAGTACCTCCTCTGGGATAACGTGTTTAAGAAGAGGAAAAAAACCTGCACAACATGCAGCCAGAGAATGTAGTGAGAATATGTGAGAGAAACAACTCTCCAGGTACCAAGGTTGGCATCTGTGGTGAAGACCATGGTGGGACAGGCTGATGCCCTGCAGCCATGGAGGTCCACGGTGGAGCAGATATCCACCTGCAGCCCATAGAGGACCCCACACCAGAGCAGGTGGATGCCAAAAGGGGGCTGTGATCCCATGGGAAGCGCATCCTGGAGCAGCTTCCTGGCAGGACCACAGAAGAGACCCACACTGGAGCAGTTCATGGGGAGGACTCACACTGGAGAAGTTCATGGAGAGCTATCTCCTGTAGGAGGGAACCCACACCAGAGCAGGGAAAGAATATGAGAAGTTCTCCCTGAGGAGGAGGAAGTGGCAGAGCCAATGGGATGAACTGACAGCAACCCCCCTTCCCCGAGCCCCTGCTCCACACTGGGGGAGGAGACAGAGAAAATCAGGAATAAAGTTAAGGCCAAGAAGAAGGGAAGGTGTTTTTCCTACTCTAATTGGATGAAGCCTTGGGTGACATGGTTTAGTGTGAGGTGTCCCTGCCCACAGCAGGAACTAGATGATCTTAAGGTCCTTTTGAACCCTAACTATTCTATGATTCTATAAATTAAATTCATTTTTCCCCAAGTTGAGTCTGCTTTGCCTGTGACGGTGGTAGCGAGTGATCTCTCCCCATCCTTATCTTCACCTACAAGCTTCATATTTTATTTCTTGCCCCTGTCCAGCTGAGGGAGAGAGTGATAGAGCAGCTTTACTGGGCACCTGGTACCGAACCAGGGTCAACCCACCACAGCACCAGTTCTAGAAAGCACCACTTTATGTACTTCTCAAAACATCAAATGAAGTAGTATTTGCACAAGAACACTGCATTATAATAGCAAAAAACCCTGTCTAAACAAGTCAAACACAGCATCCACCTTGAATTTTAGGCCATATCCCTACAAGGTAACTTGTGCTACAGGAGAGCTCTCTGAAGAGGGGCTTCATGTATTTGTAAGCCAAGGCCTGCTGCAAAATCCCATAGTGCAACTTGGCCTTTGAGCTAAGTGTTGATTCTGCTTTGACCAATGCAATCCAACATGGAAGTTGCACCAAAGGAATTTCCCTGTGCCACAGCCAATCTTTATCTTTCACTGTCATAGAATATGCTCTCGGTGGTGTTCTCTGCCAATTGCAAGTGGTCAAAACTTCCCAACATAACCCCTGGTTGCAATCACTTGCTTGAATAGCGGGGATCAGACTTTCTCTAGGACACGGGACAGATCATCTCAAGGAGACTTAAGATGGGTAGCAGGGAGCTCACTGCTGTTGAAACAAGCCAGCAGGAGCCAGGTTATTACAAGACTGAGAAATCTGCATTTGATTTTTTTATTTTGAAGTTAAATTAAAAAACTTGACTTGAGCTCTGAATTGCTGGATCCTCCATTAGAGCACAGTGTGTTAGCCAAAACTTCAACAATTTGGGCTGTGGCTGCATCAACACTAGACTTGATTAGTCATAATGCTGAAAGCCCTTCTGTTTCATGGCCTCTTCCTCAAGTACTCTGTTTGCAAATCAGAGGTTAAATGTGGCCCAAACAAGATCAGACGATCAATGCATACTGTACTTCTGTAGTGATTTAGGTTGATTTCAGGTTTTTTCCTGTAAATTACTTCCTATTTTAAATAGCTTTATTGAACCTGTATACATGTATATTTAAACTTTCTTTCAAAGTTCACCCTCTTAAAACAGAGCTCGGATTTCATTTCTTTCAGTGGCATAGCAGTTAAAGAGGAGTGAGCACACCCATTTGATGTTATCAGGGGAAGTAAGAAATGAGCATAATGAACACAGCCATACTGTTCTGTTAATCTACCCTCAATGTCTGCCTACGCAATAGCGGCACAGAGTGCAATACATCTCCTTGAGCATTCACTCCACTATGGAAGTAATAATGGCTTTTGTGCTTCTTGTACTGATCCTGACAATCCACAGTCACACTTACTCCTGTACACTGGTCTGGGCTTTTCATCACAGCCAGGTTTCTGGCATAGCTTTAATAAACCACCAAACTGCCTATTCTGAAAGCAAGATAAGGAGGAGGAAGAGAGAAGATAAGTACAGCCTATTTCATGAACTTTGTCAACCGAGACAACAGGTCACGATGTCAGTTCTGACCACCCAAGCCTGCGACCCTCCTCAAGAAGCACAGAAACTGTTTAAAGCATAAATACTGAATGAATGCTAAACCTGCACAGTGAGGCAGGTTTATTTTCTCTGTAGGAGTTTAAGGAGGGTCTCGCTACGTGGCTTACATTTTGTTTCCATGCAAAAGTCTCTGAGGTGTATTTATTCCATTCATATGAAAAAACAATTTCATGTACTTAAAAGAAGAAAAGGAGAAAGATGGCAGCACTGAAAGTTTTCTTCGTTACAAAGTGTTTTTCCATCAGGCAATTATTTATAAGAACTTTTGTTAACACTGGAGTTTAGGCTCTGGAACAAAGTGGATATATTGTTTACTAGCTTTGCCAGTCAATCTCTTACAAAACTCTCCCTTCCCCCTCTCCTTTTCCAGCCAAGTCAGTTTCTCGAATAGCTCAGGAGTTTCCTTTGTCACCAAGATCTCCTTTTCCACAAATTGTCCCTTGAATAATGCCATCTTCAATGTAGTGCCCCGAGGTATCCATGCTCCTGCAGAGAACTGCTGAGGGGATCCGTGAAGAGCGCCTGTCCTGGCTCTTATCCTCAGAGGAGCAGCAGATCATCTTTTTCATGGTGCCCCACATTTCATCATCTTTATATGAATAAATAATTGGGTTCATAACAGAGTTCAAGAGGGCCAGGAGAAGAAACCACCTCTTAACATTCTGAATCCCACAGTAGGTGCAGTTCAGACCATCCAGCAGTAAGACAACCAGGCCAGGGGTCCAGCAGACAACAAAGGCACCTAGAAATAAAGGAGAAAAAAAATACTTTAAACTGGTAGGAGTTTGGGGTTTTTTTTTCCTCTTACAAAATTACTGGATTCATCAAAATTCTACACAAAAACTATAAAAGCAGGAGAGGACAAAACTCTCATGACTGTATCAAAATCATATCTAATACAATTTCTCCATCAAGCCCTGAGTATAAGGCAGAGCAGCTTTCTCAGAAGGCTGCAGGGAGCAAGAATCTAGCTACTGACAACATCAGCTCAAACACAAGCAGGGAAAGGTCATCACAACAGTGATTTGTCCACACTGATAAATAAACAAGAGCTCTGGAGCATTAACAAGCAGAGAACTAGCACTCTGAACTCAGACTTCCTCTCTTCATCTCTCTTGTATGCTGGAGGTGTACATACCAGGTGGCTCACTTCCACCACTACCGCAATATGACCCAAAGAAGGGACACATCTTCTGTCACGCTACAGCTGACTCTGAGAGCTATAGGCACAATGCCCAATTCATAAAATAGGAATCATAACTTAAACACATCCCGGGTGGAAACCCCACAGGATACATGCCATTGCCTGTGACACACAAGCACACTGCTGGCGCCTGTCAGACCACCAGCCCACCTCTCTCCACCACTCCCTCCTGGCTTGTGCGTGCAGAGGACTTGAGACAAAACAACTTAGATCCAGGAAACAAGTCCCGTAGTGAATGAAGAGGCAAAGAAAACAGACGAGTTAGCAAAGAGGAATCAAAGGATGTGATAAGTGAGGGCAAAGAAATGAAGCAAAGAACAGAATAAAGAAAAAAGACACAAAAGGATGAGGAAATAAGAGTGTAGTGGTGGGGAACAAGAAAACTCTGTAGTGTAGCAAGAAACTGCAGGAAAAGCCCAGGAGCAACAGAGTTTTCCTTGTGTTTCAAAGCTGGGCAGGAACTATAACAGCACCTGTGAGGAAGAAGTGAGACACACAGTGATAATAAAAGCTGAAACACACGAAGTAGGACAACACACTCCTCTTCCACCAGAAAGAGGAAATAAGGGAAGAGATCTTAGAGTGAAGACAACATGAAGAAAGCATAAAAACCTTGGCTTAGGACAAAGTTCAATATTGCATTTGCATCTTTCCAAGTTACTGCACAAACCCACCATGAAGGCAAGGGTATGGGCAGCACGGGTGGGGAAGGGGAAACATGGCAACCAAGAACAGCCCTTGGCCACGAGCTTGCAGGGGGACCCCGAGCTGCCCCATCTGCCCTCTTGTCTCCTCCATCACCACAGCCTGTCAGCCCTCGCCTTGAGCCCAAGGAAGGAGTAGCCATATGCACGATAATACTAACTTAGCACAAGCCACAATTGCTGTCTGACATACAGAAATAGAAAATTACAACTCTGCACAACAGTCAAAGTTTGAACAACGTACTGAGGAAATTCCAATCATTTATAACAGCAGAGTTTCCCCTTTTTTGGGGCTTAGAAAAAATAAACAAACAAATAAGGATGATGGCAACTACATGCTAAAAAGCTCTCCTGGGAGTGCTGGTATCTGTTCAACAATGTTTGTAGGGAAATCAAGTCCAGCTCACTCTTTTTAAAGCTGCTGGTTTTCCCATAGCTGAATTGTACAGGCAAGCAGTGGGACCTAGGCAGCACCAGAGTGAGGACTCCATAGCACATGGTCTGGTTTCAGCAGCACTGGACACTTCTCCCCAACAAGGAGTTCAATACAGTCTGTGCCATTCTGATGTGCAAGCCTTAATGATATATAAAGTTGAATTCATGTGATTTATTAAGCATCAGGATTGCTGAAAAATGTATCCAGGACAAGGTACCACAGATCTTGCTGTAAATCTGTGCTCCTGGAGACCAAACAAAATTCAACCTACTTATTTACTATTTTCCAGGCAATATTTTACAGAACAGAAAGGCAAGAGACCACCTCCTTCAGAAACTGCATTTTCTACTCTGCTGTACCAAGATTTTTGTGATGCTAAGTACTACTTTCACAGTGTTAGTTTTGAGATACTGGTTAACATCAGTAACATTCCTCCATTGCCCACTGGCATTAGGAGCTTCAAACTGCTACCACAACACTTGTTTTCTCTGCTCAGTCTCTATATTACATACTGGTTTGGCTCCAGTATGCTGAGTAAGCAGTTGTGATACCAACTCTCTCTTACAGTCTACAATGCAGAGAACACTGTACTAATTTATTGCCCTGGGGTTCACCAGCAAAGCCCTGGAATCAGACCACCCAGACAACAACAGTTGAGCGTCTCAGTAAGTATTTGGATAGGGTGTTTTTGCTGGCCACAAAGGGTCACTGGCAATATCACCAACACACCAGCTCCATGCAGGAATCAAGATGGTAACAAACCCTCCCTAGAGCAAGCACTGAAAGCATTTTGACCACTTGCTCCACAAAGCATGCAAGGTCCAACTCTGCTTTCATGGAAGTCAGCAGGAAATAGACCCCAAAGCCACATGTAACAAAAGACACAGAAATCTCCCCTTCAAACAAACCCCCAGGATTGCAGGGGGATTAGTCCACAAACTCCTAGGATATATTCCTGTCTATTTAAACAGGCAAAACCCTAAAAGGTTTCAGTGACAAAAGCAAGGGAAGTTAAGACATCTGCAGACAAGTATCTGCACGTTTCCCCCAGCCCATGACTGAAGACAAGGACAGGAGGCAATGCAGTGACAGTGTCAAAGTTACTGGCTGATGCTTCCATGGGGTGTTGCTTTGACTCCATCATCAAAAGTACATTTTGCTGTGTATGGAGATAGCACAAGGGATTCACACCCTGCTCTTAACACTGCAGAGATGAAAGCAAGGCATGGTTCAGACTCACAGCCTTGCTTGGATTTTGCTATTTTTACAACAGATCTTTCCAGAGGGAACCATGGTTAAGTCTAAATGCATACCTTTGTCTTGGCCCTTCAGTGATTTTCTTGTTTGCAGACATTTTATCCCATGTGAATTCCTGTCCCTGACAAAGTGCAATGCTCCAGAAAGAGTTTAATTTCTGGGGCTCTCTAAAATTCACAGAAATGACTTGAAACACAGCCTGGCTGCAACGCAGATCAGAAGAACAGCTCTGG